GTCTTCCCCCGAACACAACGCACCCTTATTTTGGCTATATCTGGCTGGAAATATAGCTTGTATACATTCATTTTTAGGGTGCGTAATGTTTGGGGGAAGACGGTAGTATCAGAAACCACAAAATATGGAAAAACGATGATAAACGTCATAGCATATAATGCCTCTTTTCCCAAAGCACTGTAGGACCTAGAGACTCTCTGCAATTTTGCAGGCACTGTTTCTTGACTCATGGCTCCTTAAAGTTCAATTTGGAGGGTTTGTAGGGGGAGTGGCACCTGTTCACAACTGGGGCCAACATGATCTCAAAGACACCCATCATAAACACAATAAAAAAGAACAACAGAAACCTATTAAAAAAAAAGCAGGAAGAAAAGAGCAACGTATTTCATGTAAAGAAAAGGTAGCACATCATGATCTCTCTCTGCAGCATTGCCCTTCTGCCTGAATGATCTCTCCAGGATCGCCCTTCTGCCCTAATCTGGACGTGCTGGTGGAGAGTAGGGATTGCCCGCACCTCTACACAAACACATCCAGATTCGTTCCCCACCACCCTCTCTCCTTTCTCTTTGTTGCCCTTTACAGTGCGCTCACCCAGAGAGAGATAGGTCACCAGTTAATGGACTCTTGGTGGAACGGACCACTTCGTGTCTGCAACTCTTTTTGATCCAACTCAATCGAATGAGATCGAACTGGCGCCATTGCCACTTAGTGGCCTTGGACATGTAAGAGTCATACAAAACCCAATTGTCCCGGTATTTCTTACCGTGAAAACCAAGCCAAGTTTGATTCTCAGGGAAGTACTTACGCTTGATTCTAGCCAGGAAGAGAGAGAGAGCACGTTAATAACCGCGCCTGCACCATAGCAGGAAACACAGATTGTGTGTGTGTGTGTGTGTGTGTGTGTGTGTGTGTGTGTGTGTGTGGGTGGGTGGGTGTGTGTGTGGGTGCGTGAGAGAGAGAGAGAGAGAGAGAGAGAGAGAGAGAGAGAGAGAGAGATTACGGGTGCAACCGAACCACTCAGCCACAACTCGAGGAGACCTGCGCGGCGGTAGAGTCCCCGTGCGACTGTGCAGCACTGTAAGGGCGTTGCCGCACCGCACACGAAACGAAAAACGGAACGAGTGTGCATCTTCCGGCAGAAAATCGCCAGGTTCATTGGTTTGCTATAAATAGTAACGACTGTATTTTGCCACGTTTCGCTGGCAGATGCACTCTTTTCGTTTTCGTGTGGTGTGCCGTGTGGCGAGGCCCTAATGCATACTCACAGTTAAACAGTCCAGGTGTGGATGTGTGGCCAGGCCCAAATGCATTCTCACAGTTAAACAGTCCAGGTGTGGATGTGTGGCCTCGCCACACCAGCCTCGAAATGAAAAACAGAACGAATGCATCGTCCCGCAGAGGAAGGCCAGATGCATCCGTTACTATGAAAGGCAATGGATGCATTACCACTTTCTGAGGCAGATGCATTCCTTCTGTTTTCGTTTCGACAGCGGCGTGCTATGGCCTATTCCCAGTTTCTCTTTCTCTTTCTTTTTTTTTTTCTTTCTTTTTCGGGAAATTATGCCCCTGAAGTTTGCGTTAATTTGCGAATTGCCCCTCCAACGGCCGACTCACCCTGATTTGCCCCTGGGCCTCTGAGCTTTCGAACAGAACCCTGTCAGTGAGGGGCACAACTTTTTGGAATGCCCCTAACTGACCAGCCGTCCTATTTCCCCTGCTGCCTGTCTGATTTGCCCTTCTGTGGGGGATGCATCTTCCTGAGATGCCCTCCAACGGGCGCTAAGAATTTGAATTTTAAACCCATACTTTTCAAAGTCCCCGTGCAAAAAAAAAGGATGCACACCATGTCGTGTCCCCTGCTGCAATCCACTACACCGGCGTTTAGTGCGTTCTTCAGCGACTGTGACCTGCCGCCGCCTTCGACGTCGGCAGAGTAGGTTGGCTAAGGTCAGTGTTCCTCTTCTTGTTCCATGCCTCTCTCTCTCTCTCTCTCTCTCTCTCTCTCTCTCTCTCTCTCTCTCTC